CTAGGGCCGGCACCCGGGAGAGAGGCGGAACGCCTCGGCGCGCCCCAGACCTCCAGGGAGAGGCCTGGATCGGGCTCCGGGTCGACACATCAATGTGAATCTCTTCCTGCTTCGCACTCGTGACGCGCAGCCATTGTCTGTAATTCGCGGGTGCCCGGAATATTCTGTTATTAAAAGCTTCGAAGGAACTGTTCATCTATTCCAGCCTCTGTTTGAAGAACCAACATTCTCCTCGTCCGAAATTCAACGAACACGCGGAGGAAAGAAGGCCACTTTCCCCCAACATTACTAAAATGGTCAGAGTATTCACTCAATATAAGACAATGCAGTTGGCAACGCAGTCGTTGCCTTTGCAACCACTGCATGCTACGTTCAGACTCCCTGGCGCCAGCATAGATATTCGAGATAACAATTCCTTTTTGATGTAAATTCGCTTGAAGAGTCCCCTCACAGATAGGTGTAACGAGAAAGCAACAAAAGAAGTTGTAAATCACAATAAGGGACGACGACCTCTCTACAGTTCCCACTTGTAGCTAGCTAGCTAGCTAACGAAACAAACTCACCAGATATGCCAGGCTCCCCGCTTAGCTTCCTCCACGTCATCTTTTTTCTGACTCGGTCCTGGTACATGTTGCGTATCGCAGTTGATGTGTCGGCAGTGTGACGTACTGAGGTGGCCGGCGGAGCATTTTTGTCGTGAACCCATCAAACGTACCACCGTTCACGCAGCCGCCGCGGCTGACCACGCAAACTGCATTGACTGTACAGTCATACCTCGGTTTTCGACCATAATCCGTTCCAGAAGGCTGTTCGAAAAGCGGAACACGAGGAAGCCGAGAGGAATTGAGTGGCGTATTCAGGTTTGCTCACTTTGGTCGAAAACCGGTTTTCAGTCGTAATCCGAGGCGTAAAAATCTCGAATTTTCTGGTCGAAATCCGATTTGGTCGATAACAGCGACGTTCGAAAACTGAGGTTTGACTGTATCTGCAAATGCGCCGGCGGGGAACGCTGAGCATCCATCGGGTCTGCATGTAGCATTACACTGCTGACATGCATGCAGATTGAAGTGTGTATTCTGCCCATGTTTGAACATGCTGTGTACAACTATCCCATGTCAGCATGAGAACACACACACCCTGCCTCCTCTCCTCATGCCTGTAAGTAGTGATTGGGGGGTGGGGGTGCTGTGGACACGGCGGGATCCCTTCACCGTCCTCTTGCTTCTGCTAAGGCAGTTCAAAGTCAAGGTCACCTCATAAGGTTCAATTGGCGGTCATATTGCAAGGTTCAGAGTGAGGTCTATAGTCAAAGTCTGTCTGTCCGCGATATATCGTTTTAAGCTAAACATGCAAAATAGAAAATTGATGGCTTCAGTAGACTTTTGCACCCTTGAATCATCAATCACTTGATTGAATCATCAATCACTTGATGATATCCGTACTTCCTTAGTGGAGACCTTGTGGAGACACACAGACCTTTGGAAAGCACCAGTTGATACAAGCTGGTTAGTTTAGGAGAAACAGAGTTCCGATGCCACGTCATAAGTTTCGGTACCGCCCCTCTGGCGATATAAATGTGTTGTGAATCTCTTACACTTTCGCACTGGCAATCCGCAGCCATTGTCTCTAAACCGCGGGTGCCCGGAATATTCTGCAAATAAAAACTTCGAAGGTACCGTTCATCGGCTCCCGCCTGTATTTCGATAACCAACATCGTCATCGTCGGATAATGAACGAACACGCGGAGGAAGAGTCGGGCCGACTCTCTCCCCCAACAACATCAAAATAAAAGCCCATCTTGTACTTTTTGATTGTGACCTCATAAAGGCCATGAGAGGCCCTGTGATACTTTGAATGGGCAGGAGGCAGCCCGCCTTTGTCTTGATGTGCTAAACGTCTTTCAGAAGTCGCGGGGGGGAAAGGACCATGTAGTGTCTGTTTTATATTAGTACTGTACCAACTCCATGGAATTACGTCAGCTAATCGTAGTCAATGGAGAAAAGCGTGAATGGCTGTCAATTAGCATTGATATGTAGTCTATTTTTTACTAGCATTGTACCATTTCTATGGAACTACGTTAGCTAATCGTAGATAGCAGGAGAAAGGGCGTATGGTTGTCAAACAGAGAAACATGTAGGCCAAAAGCAAGAAGTAAATTGTAGATTGACGACACTTGTTAGCCAATTACATGTCAAAGAATATGTAGGGGAAAGAACTGAATGTATGACGATACTTGCTAACCAATTTGCAATGGTCTTCATTAGATTAGCAAGAATGCATGCTCCATTGTATTAACGGAGACATGCCCCATTGTGTTGGTGAAAAGTGCAAAGGCAATAACTGTTGCACATGTTCAGTAAATTACATCGGGCTGCCAAGCCAACGAAGACCCAATCAAATCTAAAGACTGCATGAATTGAGTTGCCATGACTACAAGGACACGGTAATATTTGAAACACACATGCATTCACACAAAGGCCCGGCAGGGGCCCCCATTATATTTTAAAAATAAAAAGCTATTGTGATACCATTATAATTCAGAACCAAGACATGAAGTAACTTATAGATACCATTAAAAACTAGCTGACGAAGAAGGCCACAGCCAATCGGAATCACACAACGCATTATGATACTATTAGAGTTGATAAATGATCGAGAAACTACCCAATGAAATTAGAGGGGCGGGGCCCTCATAACGCTATAAAACCTGTGTTTAACTTAGGAGAAATTTAGAGTTTTCCGATGTGCATATCTGTACCTCTCCGGGTTTTTGATTGAATAAAACTCGTTTGTGACCAGCCTGCACCTCGGCCTCCGGACTAAGTTTGTACTTGTTTTTTGATCGATCCCGGCATCAAGCTCAAAGAAACTTCTGGTGTGTCCCCCGGTCTGCGGCTCAACAAAGGAACGTCTGTTTTCTTTCTTGTGTCGGCCCTCCTGATCCCTCGGCCGTCCACCCGGGAAGAGGCGGAACGCCCCTAGTCTCCGGAAGGAGGCGTGGGTCCGGCTCCTGGCCGACACATCAACCACAGCAAAAGTGTATCGGAGATTCCTTATTTGTCCAATATTCATCAATGAGGGTCTACCAACCGACATAAATCTGGTATGTTGTAACAATTTATTTGAGGAATAATGATGTCGCAAGGCTTTGTCAGTTAAGACATGCCAGTGAAATAAAGGATCAAAGCTTTTAATAATCCTTGTACTGTATTTGTACGGCTGTTTTTGTTCACGCAATTAGATAAAAGCCAAACAAGGTTTCCCAAAATCTGATTGGAGCTCAAATGAAGAAGCTCACAGACACCGCTGATATGTTAATGATTTCAGTTCTAAATTTGAGTTGTAGCCTCTCTCTATTCATACCTTGATGGGGGGTGTCCCCTGGAGGGGGTCCACAATCGGGTGTCGCTGTTGTTGCCGAGTGCAATTTGTGAAACGATCGTCCTGTATACTCGTATTTGTGAAACGATCGTCCTGTATACTCGGATCAGTCATCTAGTGGTAAAGCAGCTCCTGTTAAGGGCACTCTTTCTCTGGAATGAGGCCATCTTTGCGGGGTGTTTGATCGTTGTTCCAGGCAGACAATTTGGACGTCTCAAACTGCCTCCCCCATTTCAAGATGGCTTTTGTAGTTTGACATAGATGGCTTCTTTTACACCTCTGTCAAACCATTACTCCGGTGTGCTGCTATTGTGCCACGTGTTAGAACCTTTGATGGGCACTCAAAAAATGAAGGCCCACCCACCTCAGAGATAAAAAAAAAAAAAAAAAACCTTTGAGGAAGAAGTGGGAAAGGAATAAAATGAAGGGTTGGAAGTTTCTGGACCTTTTGGTGGGTGCTCGATTGTGTCATCAGAGGCGCAAAATGATTGATCTGAAGAAGATGAAATCATGGAATCTTTCCACACTGATTGTGTCCCCTGTTTGGACCTCTTTCAGGGATGTTCTCTTCATTCGGCTCAGCTGAGGACACGATGCAGACTTGTGTAAATATGGGCGCCCCCTCATGGGAGGCCTCAGCACACACAATGTGGAACCATCCCAGCGCAAAGAACCTATACCAATACCAGAAAAATGGTGGTGCCGTTTGGCCGACGGCAGTTCCTGGTCAAGACGGCAGATACTACCAGAATGTGTCGCGTGTCCCTCAGACCACCTTCTCCGCTGTTCCACAAGGTGGAAACTATGGACATCAGCTTGTCTCCTCAAGAGTTTTTAATGACAAAATAGGCCAGAAATCGTCGATGTGGAGCACAGGAGGCATTGCCCAGAGAGAAACTGTGCCCTTCCAGAACCCAACCTCTCCATCGTGGAGCCCATCAGGAGTGGTCTATGGCCATGGTGTTGTACCTGAGCACCAAATGCATTGGAGTAGATTTTACCAGAAGCCGCCACCACCACATCCACAGAAACGGATCACAATAAGTGGGCAGAGTTTTCCTGGCGTCAACAAAAATCAGACACCTTGGCAACAGCCAGACACCAGGTCCGTATTCCAGAAAGCTTTGCCGTTTCACCCCAGAAACTTCGATCAAGAGGAAACACGATGTCAGATTCTAAAACGTCTCACTCAAACAACAGACGCGGAAACACAGATGCCAGAGAGGACGCCAGATAGGGTGCCAGGGACTACACAAGTTAGGATGCCAGAGAAGACGTCAACAAGGAAGCACGCACAACGCTCTCCGTATTCATCACTTCACACAGTACAGGGTCCTCAATCACCTCGGACCGTCTGCGCCGCAAGTCCGGAAGCGTTGCATGTTGCCGGAGATCCGTTCCAACGAAGCAAGCCTGACAACGGAAGACACTCCCAGCACACGACACCAATGGCAAATATTCCACAGCCACAAAATCCTGACCCACTTGAACTCCTCACAACTGCCACCTCATCACCGAGTTGCTCAGCTCTGCGAACGGTTGCCAACATGCCACCTGTGTCAGAGGGAAGGCCAGGGCTTTTTAACCGGCTTCTGGAAACTGCACGTGATCCCTCTGACCAGAGTTGCACTGGCCAGACGGACACGTGTGCAGATAATATAGCGGGTCGGCCAGCAAGCCCTGTTCGGAACCAACAGGACCACAAATTTCCACAACCTTTCCAGCCAGAAGAGGTTGAGAGCCGAGAAGATAATCAAAGCGAGAGGCCAATCAGTGTTCAACTACAGTCTGTCCCAACACGGAATTGGACTCAAGAAGACTTAGCGGTACTTGTCAAGGAAACCCATCAAGCCCAGGCGAAGTCTCACGAGTCCTCAGTCTGGTTTGATTCTAAAGATATACAAACCACATTCTGGAAAGATCCAAAATTATTTTTGGACAACCTCAGGTCAGGCTGGTACAAGAACGTCATGGCAGAGTCGACTGATTTCTGCAATGAGCACTTGACTCTGAAGACTCCGGTGCTGTCAGAAGCCAAGTGCGACTTGAAACTCAGCGGCCTTCAGGTGTTGCAAGATGGCGAAGTCTACTCTGAACCGGCATACTCCTCATTCTGGCGGAACATCAACCAACAGCTTGATGACATTGATAAGGAGTTTGGCTTGGCGGGTGACTTTCTCCATCACTCACGTTTTCCGGCACCGCTTTCACCCTCTTCGCCCGGGACAGCTGAGGCTCCTTCACCAGAGGCCAAACCCACCTCCCCGGAAGAAGAGCAACGAGAACAGGAAAAAGGAAATCAAAAACTGCAACTGGCTCAAGAGCCCGAGATGGACTCTGCTGTATCTGTGCCTCCCAGTGAAGATCCAGATGACGTCTACTCATTCGTCATTGAAGTTCTGCCCCAAGAGCAGGCCAAAGCCATCTACGAGAGTTGGAATCACGCCGATGAAGCTCCTATAAAGGGGGACCTGAAAGGCTCCACAAAGCCTGAAACAAGTGTCGACGAAGGTGACTCTGAACGAGGAAAGGATCAGTCTAACAGCGAGTTGGAGTCTTTCTGTGAACAGTCGAAAGATAACCTTTCTGGTTTCACTTTTTCCCCAAAACAAGAGATGGTGCAGAATGATCTGGACGATATGGCAAAGGGAATCACGTGGGAAGATCTTGACTTCCTCCTTGGTGCGGATGCTGGCGACGAGTCTGTGGATTCCTATCATTCCCAGGATGCTTCTCCACCAAGAGAACAAAAAAAGGATCAAGAGATGGAAAATTATGCCACACAAGATTTCCAAGCGTCGGAAAAGGTTACCCGACAAGAAGACCAAGAGATGGGAAATGTCTGCCAAAAAGATGGCGCCGAGTTGGTAAAGATCATCCAACAAAATGACCACGAGATGACAAATGTCTGCCAACAAGATGACAGAGAATTGGCAAAGATTGTCCAACAAAATGACCACAAGATGGCAAATGTCTGCCACCAAGATGGCGACGAGTTGGTAAAGATCGTCCAACAAAATGACCACGAGACGGCCAATGTCTGCAAACAAGATGGCGGCGAGTTGGTAAAGATCGTCCAACAAAATGACCGCGAGATGGCAAATGTCTGCCAACAAGATGGCAGAGAATTGGCAAAGGTCTCCCAACAAGAACATGAGCAAGAGACAAAAAAGGTTCCCCAAAAAGATGACAACCAAGAGATAGCAAACGTTTCACAACAAAACCTTGTCCAAAAAAAGACAAATGTCTGCCGGCCAGTCTTAGTTTCACCATCCAAGGTTTCTTCTGAAATGTGGCCAGTCCAGGGTCACCGTGGTCATGTGGAAGTGATCCCCACCAAACGATACCAAGGCGAGAGGACGCTCTGCATTGCCGACAAATGTTTAGCCTCCGCAAAGAAAAAGCGCAAGAGAACCAAGCAGTCCAGCATGAACATTCCCTGCCGGAAGAAGCTGATAACGAAACTTCAACGTAAAGATGTCAGCAAACATGGCAAAGAAACTCTGCCGGAAAACCACGAGACGCCTGTGGAGCTGGTACTCTTTGGCTCAGCCAGACGCAAACCTAATTACACTCCAGCCCATCACGCTCCAGAGGTTCTGAGCTTGTCTCCCAAAGGAACCACTTCGATCAAACAGCGGATCTACGAGGAGTGGTGTCTACCTCCCACCAGAATTGACGGCAAAAGCAATTACAAATCTCAGAGGAAGTCTTACGCGGACCTGGCCAGAAAACAGCCCCCTTTGCCCATCTTGACATTCGGCAAAGACAAATGCAGAATGTCGCTGACGCTGAACAAAAGAAGGTCCAGGCTGGAAAGACCCAAGGATGCCGGGGCACTCAAACAAGCTGATGATGCGATGCTGAGGACCGCCACCAAGTGTCATCTCGGTATGTAGACGGAAAAATGTTAAGTCACCACCAAAACCAGTCAGTACTCGGTGTTGCGGTATGCTGTATTCATGATGCCATATGAGTACAATAAAAGTGTTAAACAACATATTTTGATCCATTTATTTTAGTGACTAAACCTGGAGTACACAGCTGCTGATGTAATGCATAGTTTTCAAACGTTTACCCTTTGTCCGAGATTTTCTCGGACAAAGTTAAAGAAATGACTCAGCACACAGGAAAATTGTCTTCAATATCGGCGGGAGCGGATCTCTGAGAGCGAACGACGGTAGTTGCTCCGATGATCACACACTCGAGCTCCCTTCCCGCCAATTCAGACTTTTATTGTAACATACAAGGAAAACACTGCCCCCGATATTTGCATACCGCACCCCCGGTCCGGCCCCTCGGTAGTGATTGGTTACCTGTTTTTAAACATTGAACCACCAGTACGTTGGCGCCTTTTCTGTCTGGTCTACATCGAATTAACATGTTGCAGACTTTGCGGATGGCCAATGTCGCCCGGGCGCGACGGGTGTTCTCAACTCCTCTTTTGTTGTACAACCGCTGTTCCCGAATTATTCATTCCCCTTTTGTGACCGTTTCGCCCTCTCTCCCCTGTGATCGCCCACCTGCATTGACGTGCTAATTGTGGACTTCAACGGCCCTCCGCCCAGGTGGCCAGCACCTTTGTGCACAGGCATTTGGGGGTGCCGGATACGCACCCAAACGTTTAGATCTGCCCAAATTAAAGGAAACTTTAAACATGATACAATTTTGCTCATAGATTCCTCTAACACTCTTTAAATATACTTTTAAGTATAATAATTTTTGATTATGAATAGCAGGCAAAATATTTTAAAAAATGGGTTCCCATGATTTACGGAACCTGTTGTGGAGGGGATCTGTCCCATTTCCTTATGGCCCTCCTTGGACACAGGTTCTTTTATTTCTCTATAAGGTGGAAGGAAGAAAGACCCAACACCACGTCATCTTTTCTGCAGTTGATCACAACACAATACGAATCGATTCGGGCTTCTGAGAGTTGATTTTGTCAGGAAGCAAAGGAAAAATACAGTCTCACGTTTATATAGGGGGCGGGCAGTCCTTCCCCTTATGTAAAAATCAGAAGCAAAGAAAGGTCAATGCAGTTCGATCTTGGCATAACGACAAAGTCCAGATGTCCCCTGCTGTGCAGAAATCCCGAGAGAAAGAGTTCCTTTCTCAGGGAAACTTGACAGCCTTCAGGGACTTTCCTGAGGAGTGGGACGCAAAAGAAGACACTTGGGGGCTGCTAACCACTCAAGCGGGAATAGGTTAGAAACTTGACACCACATCCTTTGTTTTAAGTGTTGAAACAGAGGTTCAGGAAAGAGACTGGTACCAATAGTACTCATATTAAGGATAGAATTCCTCAACAAACCCCAAATTAGTTTCCGTGGTTTCCTATTGGGTAATCCAAGGGAATGGAGAAACAGTTTCTGTTCATTTCTGAAATCCTCAGGCCTGCATGAACATGCATGGGAACTTAAACCCTTGTTCTGTTCAAACATACTTGTTGACTCTGACCGTATTCGTGACCCTCCCTCCCTGCTTTGATGTGTGTTTTAATTAAGCATGGTTGCCCTGACCTTGTCAAGCCCCCCCCCCCCCAAAATAAGACAAATGACACATGACCTTGAAAATTGAGATATTCCGTGGAGAACGACAGAAATCTGAGTATATTGTTGCAGGCTGAAATTCCAAAGTTTGGGACAATTTGAAGCTGAACAACATCTAAAAATGATGAGCCAATTTTCCAAGTTGATGTCGAGTCATTTGAGAATCACTTTGGATGCGTTCACAACCTTCCTTATCCTCATTAGGCAAACGTCATCGGGTGAGCGAAAGAACACCCTGGGACCACCAACTTCGCTTGGTTGCCATGGGAACATTCGCCGGAACAACAGCAGCCACCTGGGAGACGGGTAACAATTTGCTTTTTTAACATTTTACATTTTTCACCTGCCGTCATACTCGCTATTTATTTGGCACCGGCGATTTGTTTGAAATTATCCGCAGGCTCAAATTGATGCAATCCAGGCAGCAGTTGGGATTCCACCCGTAAAGACAACAAAATACAAGAAGTGCTGATCGTCGTCCTGTTGATGTTTACTGTGACAACTACATTGTAAAGAATATTTGCGGATGTTAGAAGGTTGTTCCCCCCCCACATTGTGAATGAATGCCATGTATATATGTACAGATGTACAGTTTTGTTTGTTTTTTTTTGTTTTACATCAATTTTGGAATTTTTATTTGTGAACTGCACTGGAGCTTGTGTTTCTCCTCCCATTGGTCTGTGACGATGCGTCCACTGTCATGAGCTACCCAACATGTCAGAGTCAAAGAGATGCTCATGGGTGCACCCTGAACTGGTCGCCAGCCGATCACAAACAGACAAACTGGAGAAGCCTGCCAGGAGACAACCCACGCAGGCACGCGAAGAACATGCAAAGTGCACGCAAGAAGGCCGGAGCGTGGGTTTGAACCCACGACCACTGCATTGTGAGATGGATTCCACGCAATATACTCCATTTGTGGAAGACTTTTTTTTTTTCCAAGTGTTGAAAACAGGCTTGTGCCTGTGCACATGCTGACTGCCGTTAACTGACCTTGAAGCCTTAACTGACCTTGAAGCCTTGTGTGTGTGTGTGTGTGTGTGTGTGTGCGGGGGGGGGGGGGGGGTGTGTTTTC